CTCTCTCTCTCTCTCTCTCTCTCTCTCTCTCTCTCTCTCTCTCTCTGTGTATCAATTTCTCAAAAACCCTGTAGTGCCCATGCACACATGCACATATTTAAGGGTCACGATCAGCAGGCAAGCAGCTTGAGGCAAGCTTGGAAGTTTATAATGAAGGCGGAGGCATCTGCTTAATAGTTCTTACGGTTGAATGAATTTGAATCTGATTGGAGTGCGGGTCGACAAACTACCTCCTGCACTAGAAAGAGACTCCACAGTCATTCTGGCTGTGTTTGGTCTATGTATATAGTAATAATGACCATGCGACGCGCCTTCTATTCAGGTGAAGACGATCCTATGAAGTTGGTTTGTATAGAGTCTATATAGACCTCACGAGAGCAAAGTGATGTGATCTTAGATTGCGGTCCGGTCTTGGTCAAGCTGATTTTTATTTTCTGCTACTCTTTGCACTTGCGGCTTGAATTTTGTTCCGTTCAAATTTTGCAGGGAACAGCTGACAGGAGATGATGGAGCTTTTTGTGCTTTTGGTGCATTGTTGCTACGCAGTCCAGCAAATGGAGCTTGTATTATTCCTGGTTCGGAAACTGTACCACCTCTGGGGAAGTTCCACTTCAACAATCTGGCATTCATGTGTATTCAGTTGTGCAAGGTCGACACTCAGGCGCCTCCTCTCGGGGAACATTGGCTTCAACGATCTGGCAGAGATAATGGAGCTTATGTTCCTGGTTCAGAAACTATACCCGTTAGCGGAACATTCACCTCAGCAACAATCATGCATCCCTGTAGATAGAGTTGTCCGACGTTCAGAAACAGGTCCGGCGGCAAGGCGACGTCGGCTTCAGCGATCCGGCCTTGATTCAGCAGCCATAAATGGTTCAGAAACGGTTCAGCCTGTTCCCTGCTGTGGCGATCGAGTATGCCTGCAGCAGGTTCAGGTGCTGTTCTACCTATTCTGTATGTGTACGCTGTGGCGGCCTAGTGTACAGGACATGGAGGACCCAGCTTGTGTCTGCGGGACCATGTCATTAGCTGACGAACTGCGGCATTCGGCATTCTGTATGCAGCATGTAGAGCAGGTCACAATACACAATTTTTTTCTGGATATTAATTGTTCTATCTTCTTGCTCCGCAGGAGGGGGTTGGACTCGGCGAAGGTGCTCCTGCCGTTCAAGTCGTATGCAACCTTTCACGATGCTGGTGAGACTGCTGTGCATGCGGCAATCAGACTCAACTCGTGGCAGTCGGAGTGTACGAGGCATTGCAATCCAAAGCTCTTTCGAAGAGTACGAGTCGTCGAAGGATCGCATCGCGAAGGGTCGGAAAGGACGGAAAGATCAATGACGGGGACGTTGGGAAGGGTGAAGGTTCTCAAAGGAAGGAAAGATCAATGGAGAACCCCATGGCTCGATGCGTGTGCAATGTCCATCCTAAAATGAAGGAACGTTTTGCTTGTGTGAAATGAAAGAGAAGACCGGTTTTGGATATTTCGGAAGGTGTGGATGGTTATGGGTTAAATTTCTTGTTGTTATTTCCGTGCGTTGATTTGAAAGCAAGGAATCCATGGACACACAGCCGCGAGGCAAATACCGTTAGTGCACGTTTGCCTGCTCCTGTTCAATCAACAGCAGCAGTCGCAACTGACCAGTTGGCACTGCTGCCATCAGAGGCGGTAGACTGTTGACTGTGTTCTGCTGCATTTCTCAATTTGCTGGAAGCTGTTCGAGCTCATCAAACACATCGTGATGAGTGAAATTGACGTTTATGATTCTTCGGTGGATTGCTGACGCTGACGTCTTCTGATGCCGACGACCAGTTTGCCAGGTGCTGTTCAGGTGCATGATTCGCTGGCTCTCCGCTGAACGTACGGGTAATTGCCAATCGCGCAGCTTGTTGCGGAACGTGGACGGACAGCGAGGGTATGGGGTATTATGAAGTACTATGATGAACAGATCGTGTACATCCTGGCGGAAGTTGAGAAATGCTAACCTTTTTGTCAAAATAAATAAGATCATTGATTGGATTTGACATTTCGCGTTTTTCATTTTCTTTTTCTTTTTGTTTCGTTGTTTAATTCAGGATTCAAGTTCCCTTGGAAAATGAAAACACTTGGCAATCTTTGGTTTCTTCCATCAAGGTGAGGCACATGTCCCTGGGTTGTTTGCTCCTGCAGCATCAAGGCTCAATGGCCTCGTCTTCGCGCTTGGCCCCTCTGTTTTCGCTAGCACTAACATCACTGAACCTTTCCAGCTCTAACATATCTGCACACTGATCGACTGTGGTTTGCAAGCTAAGGAAGTAGTGTGCCTGTTACAGATTGCCTTGCTACTTGTGGCTGCAAATATCGGTTTTTCCTACACGCTTTTGCCCCCCCACCCCCCCACCCCCGCCCTGCTCAGCCTTTGACCACTGTCGACATTGCTAGCGTCATGTCTTCTTACTGGAGCAGGGGTCATCAAAGGACTTGTACAACCGTCGGTAGGAGGCAGTAGCCCTCTTGTAGCTTCCCTTGCCTTCGCACCTTTTGGTGACGCGCTTCTTGTGGATCTCCGAGTTCCGTTTTGTGTTTACCCCACTTTTGCACCTACGTTCTGCTGGTTTTGTGCTTTGCGTCTACGCTCGTCTGAGGTGTCGTCATCATCACCAGAGCGATGAGCTTTCTCAGCGAATAAGGAAGTTGATGGCTACAAAGGACTGAAAATCCTTGTGTCTACGCTTGTCTGAGGTGTCGTCATCACCACAGCGATGGCCTTTCTCGGCGAATAAGGAAGTGGATGGCTGCAAAGGACTCTGAGGCGTCGTCATCACCACAGCGATGGCCTTTCCCGGTGAATAAGGAAGTTGATGGCTGCAAAGGACAGAAAATCGTTGTCTACGCTCGTCTGAGGTGTCATCGTCACCAGAGCGACGGGCTTTCTCCTTGAATAAGCAAGTTGATGGCCAGATGGATGCCCCGATCGTGTGTAGGATGGGTGAATGGATAAATGGGGAAGTGAAGTTGTGGGGACTGCCATCAGGGGGAGCATCATCGACTGAACCATGGGCAACCTATATTCGGGTGCATGGTTGCGATTTTTACACGCCATCTCTCTTCATGAAGCCCCAAGTCCGATGGAGGTTTGCACCCTTGGTCCCTTGGATCTGTGAAGACACTGAAGAGGTACCTTCAAGCAAGGGGTTCCGATCCTCCGAACTGATTTTTGTGATCCGGTCCTAGAGACGACAAGGTTTGATGCGCTGTGACTTTTACAAGGGTGCTTTGTGGTTTTGGAGTGTAGAGGGGCGCGATGCTCCGTCAGACACCAGCCACAAACCTCTGTGAGGAGAACAATCCCCGAAGAGCATGGTTGTTACCAGTTATTAAAGAGTATGGGCATCGCCACACCACTCTCCAAATGTGAAAAAGGCAAAAATGTGGTGGATGCATCTGGCCATGTTCTAGCGGGAAGTTCATTCTCATTTTGCACATTTCAAGAGTGGTGTGGCGATGCCCGATGGCACAGCTCCGGCATCAGGGGACAATACAACTAGACCTCAACTTGGTGAGTAATAAGGCTTGTCAGAAGACCCCTTTTCTGACAAAACTTCGAGGTATGGCATCCATGAGTTACAGCAGCCAAATTATCTGGCGTTGTGACTTCTAATGTTTTGGTAGGCACAGGTAGCATCTGCTGCGATACCACTAGCCAGCCATTGTGCAGAAGTGTGCTAATGGCGGTATTGTGTCTGTTGAAAGCGCGACAACGTTTTCAAATCGTTTGGCACTGCGACGTCGAATGCTTCTGCAGTTGGTGGCATGTGTTGCCATGTTGTCGGCCAGCGCACATTAAGTCTATCCGTGGTGGTAGCGCTATCTGTCAAGAAAAGCTTTCAAGATTTTATAAAACTGTACTACTTCTTCAAATGTGTGGCCCCAGCAGTTGAAGCCTGTGACGGCTACAGTTCTCGGCGATTGTTGTTGTCATGCTCGCTTGGACTATCATCCCAACGCGCACAGCTGCTTGAAGTCCCAATGCGCATGGCTACTTGAAATCCCATTGCATGGGCTGTCATGTTGTAGTCCGTGGATGTCGAATCTGACATCTTTGAGCCTGGTGCGGCTCACTGTCTTTGCGTTCGGCTGGGGGATGCAAGGCAGGAGGGTGCGGTGAGGGGAAGTGTGCCAATGCGGCAAGATAGGGACAGCACTTTTCTGACACGGAGAGGTCACAGTTGGCATCAGCAGCAATGCAACAACAACGTCAAACCATTTCGCGATTTTGTGCTTTTTCACATGTGGTGGTCGCAATAAGGAGCTGTGTTTGGCCTTCCTTGAAGGCCAACGGGCGTAGCTCAGTTGGTACGCGCATGAACTGTTGAAATACAGACCGCAGTTCGAATCTCGATGGGACTCGGATGAGTCAAATAACGCTGAATTTACCTGGGGCTGGTCAGTTTGGACTTTGAAGGTGATATCTCAAGGTAGTCACCCCACCACGGAGAAGTCTGTGCTCTGGGGCTTGGAGATGAGAGCCAGTTGGCCACCACACCGAGGTGGTTTAAGCTCTGGAGACACAATGTGTGTGGCGGGGAAGAGGTGGGTGTGCCTGTACGACTCGGCTGAACAATGGATTTGAAGCGGCGGGGGAGAGGTGGGTGTGCCTGTACAACTCGGCTGAAAACAATGCATTTGAATTTTGACACCATCAAGCGAGGTGGATGGTTCTCCAAGAGAGGTGGTTGTGTGCCTGTACGACTCGGCTGAACAATCCATTTGAAGCCATCAAGTGAGGTGGATGGCTCTCGAAGAGAGGTGGGTGTGCCTGTACGGCTCGGCTGAACAATCCATTTGAAGCCATCAAGCGAGGTGGATGGTTCTCCAAGAGAGAGGTGGGTGTGTGCCTGTACGACCCTTGAAATCAATCCGATGCTCCTGGTGTCGTCTGGAGCGCGGGGGAGGAAAGTAAGTTGCATCAGCTTGAGCCGGCGGGAGGAACGTAAGGTGCGTCTTGAAAACTACATCCTCGCCTAAATCCATAAGAGTCGGGTTCAAAATGGGCTTCCCATTTCGGGTTCCGGGACCTTTTTCTCATATGCCTGTTTAGGTTGATCTGCGAGAAGAAGGAAGTGGTTGCATCCCGGTGTGGGACCCAAGTCCGAGGTTGAGCTTTGCCCTCGAACTTGAGTGTTCGAACAGCATGAGTTTGCATGAGGAAAGTAAGGTGCGTCAGCTTGAGATGGTGGGGGGGAAGTAGTGTGCATTGAAATTAGCTCTTGTCAGAAAAGATAGGTAGGAGGCTCTACCCCCAGCCTTGCGGCTGAATGGTGCACACGTAGCTGTCGAGGGACAGGCCATGAGCTCAAATCCTGCTGAAATTCAGCTGAATACAATAATGTTGTGGGCTAACGCGCGCTCTAAACGAGATGGTGTTGTAAAAAAGACACGATGACACCCCAGCCTCGTGGCTGAATGGTTTGCTCGTGTTGTTGTCGAAGAAAAGGTCACAGGCTCAGATCCTGCTCTTTTGTTGTTGAAGAAAAGGTTATGGGCTGAAAATTCAAATCCTGCTGAATATAATAACGTTGGGGGCTAACCGGCTCTACTAAACAATAAAAAAGGAAAGATATGATGCTCGTGGAGCCGACGATGGGCCAGGGGTCCACAGGAGCGGGGGCAGATAGTCTATCCTTTTTGTGTGTGTATTGTCTGTTTCTTGAGCTGGTGAGGGAAAGGAAGGGCCATCAAGCTCTTTGTCAGGGGAAAAAAAAGACATGATGCTCATGGAGTTGAGGATCAGCAAGGGAGCCACAGGAGTGGGCGATCGTCCAACTGGACTGGGATTGCTGTCATTCGGAGAAGAAGACCAAGATCTGCTGGTTTAATGGGGGCAGTTTGGCAGTTGTAGACAAATATTATGTTGCAGCTGTAGTGGCAATTGCAGGTGGGTTTTGGGGAACAGCACACCGAAGTGAACACCGAAGTGAAGGCTATTTCGTTCGACTCGTGCCGTGCACAGGTTGTTGAACCGCCGAACATTTTTCTTGTGCCCTCCTTGGGTTCTGCTTATTAGTGTGTTTCGCGGCTTTCGCCCATGCCATGGGTAAAAGGCTCCTTGTGACAGCTACGGTTGTTTGCAGTTGGCGACTCGGCACCCTTTTTTGCGGTTTTTACTCCGTCAGTGATCCAGGACTGTTGCAGCTCATCATCCATCAGCAGCCACTTCTGCGGGGACCTTGAACATGGAGAACAGGCATAACTTCAGCTTCTGCACAGCCCACATTGAGCCAAAGAGTGTTGATGCAGTGCAATGGTTGCAAGTACCCTTGCCTAGTACCTGCTTCCGCTAGTTCAGGAAGTGGTTTCTAAGTACCCCAACTTACCTGCTTGCGCTGAAGCATCTTCTTCTCAGTACATGATCCACTTCATCGAGAGTCTCGGGCACTCGCAGTGCACAATGGGATCCTATCATGCAACCTTCAGCTTCACGGTTGCTGCTCTGTCCAGCTGAGCGGCGGGGAGAGAGGAGACGGGCAAGAGCGCGGGCGGTTTCACTGCCACCCCCCCCCCCTCCTGGTCAGGCACGTAGTTGCACACATCAACCACCCACCCCTTTTCTACCCTCTTTTTCAGTGGCTTGTCCATTTTGATGACAGACTTTGGAGACAGGGCCTGTGGCTTGGTCATTTTTTTCTTCCATGTGAGACAAAATAATGCTGGCAGGTGGGGCAAATAACTGTGGTGTTCCGCAGAGAGTGTTTTTTTTTTTTAGGGGGACTTTTAGTTGCCTATATCACCTTCGCTAGGGAGCATGCGCTGCCTCTCCCTTCCCCTTTCCCGTCCACTCCCCAACCCGCCAACCCACACACCCACCTACCCACCCTACCCCACGCGCACAAGTGTGTCCCTTGAGAGAGCAACCAAAACAAAATAAGAAAGGCAAAGCAAAAGAGAAGCCAACAGAAGCCAAGGAACATGCTCTGCAACTTGACAAATAAGTTTCCTTAGTCAATTTGGTGTCGTTTTGTCGGTTTTCTACAATAAATGTCGGATGGATTTCGCTCGGGGTTCATCAACCCTGGAGGGGACAGTGGCCGAGGTGTTCCGTATCATCTCCCACATGCCCTCTGAAGAAGCAGGGAAATCAGTAATTACACACCCCCCTTTTTCATCTCCTGGGTGCTGTTCTGCGCACTCCTTCCCCTGCAATCCCCCCCTTTTTCCACATCCCTCTGCCCCCCTTTCCACCCCCCTGTTCCCGCCCCCTGCATTTCTCCTTTTCGAAAAAGACTCCACTACCAATTCCGACACTGTTTTCGCGGGGGCGACGGATGATCTCCTCATTTTCAAGACGCGACGGTTGTCGAGGGGGTTGGACGGAGAGCAGGAGGGTGGAAAAGCCGCGGGCGAGCCCATGTCTGACACAGCATACGCTGGCCACTTGGGGGAAAACTGGAATTGATGTCCAGCTTGCACTCTTTTTATCCTTACTGGAAATGATGTCCAGCTTGCACTTTTTTTTTTAAGTTTTTATCCTTGAAGCCATGTTTAACTCTGGTATTTCCATTTTGGGACATTTGATTTTCAGGATTTTGTCATGTCTTTTTAAGGATGCAATCAAGGAAAGCGGAGAATCTCTTTGTTCTCACGGACTGTTTCGGAACCATTCCTTTGCATTTTTTCCATTTATCATTTCGATTCCATGGTTGGTGTGTTTATAATTTGCAAACGCTGTCCGTATGACGCCGTCTTTTTACCTCTTCTTTCTTTTGCTATCACTGGCTATCAGTCCGTCCTTTTCTGGTTTGACTTTGGTGATGACTGAATGTCTGCATGGCCTCGGCATGTAGGTTTACCTCTTCTTTCTTTTGCTATCACTGGCTATCAGTCCCTCCTTTTCTGGTTTGACTTTGGTGATGACTGAATGTCTGCATGGCCTCGGCATGTAGGGTATGCTCGCACTTGAACTGTCCCAGAAGTATGTGAATGTGACCTCATTTATGGCTCTGTTCAGTCAACTGTCTCAGAAGTATGTGACTGCATATATGACTAACTTCAGTCAACTGTCCCAGAAGTATGTTGACTGCATTTATGACTGAATTCAGTCAACTGTCCCATACGTATGTTGACTGCATTTATGACTAAGTTCAATCAAGGAATTCCTCGCAAGTCCTGTCAACTGTTCCCAGAAGTATGTTGACTGCGTTTACGACTAAATTCAGTCAACTGTCCCAGAAGTATGTTGACTGCATTTATGACTAAGTAGTAAGTTCAGTCAAGGAATTCCTCTTTCTTTCTGAAGGGCTTTACTGAAAACAACAAATCTCAGAAATATGATGTGTGCTTCCTTCCTTTTCCCCTTTTAATCCCACGATTGGCCCCGATGTTGACCACGGCCTGCGGTGACATACATGCTGGCCACTGGAAGGGTCGGCTGACCAAAAGAGGGGGGGGGGGGGGGGGGGGGGGGGGGGGGGGGGGGGGGGGGGGGGGGGGGGGGGGTGGAGATGGTGGCACTTTTGGGAGAGAAGGCGGGAAAGTGCGTGCAGTTCACGATAGATCTTAGAATCCAAAAAAAGAAAAGAAAAAAGATCCTAGAATAAACACTAGAATAGTAGAATAAACATCCTAGTGAAATCACACTTACGATTATTCAACTTGTCATGTATGCAAACAGCAAAACAGCAAATTGGCGACAGGCGCCCACTCAGTACTCAAGATATCGTATCCACATAAGAGTTCTCTTCAAACTGGCTATGGCGACTGAGCGCCCAAATCCCCACTCAGTACTCAAGATATCGTATCCACATAAGAGTTCTCTTCAAACTGGCTATGGCGACTGAGCGCCCACACAACTCACTGTTCGCACTCTGGATCACCCTGGATGTCCCACACGCAACACTCAGTATCACACTTCACACACACACATGCTAGGCTACAGCTATGGCAGCGCTAGCTGCCACTACCTATCGCTGCACTCTACTCCTCTGCCCACTTCGTCTTCGGGCACTCTGCAGACCTCCTCGCACAAGCTGCTAGGCAGCGCTTCCGCATGGCATCCGCAGGAATGAATSAATGAATGGACGCAGCCTCTTGATTTATACTTCTATGCTGCATTGGTCTGCCTTGTGTCCCTGGCCCATGGTGCACACAGTTCCCCCCGTGGTACTTGCTGGACCGGACTGGTACTTTCTAGACTCTCTCCAACATGGGCTTGCTTTAGTCACACCACTTGCCCACTTGCCTGCACCACTTGACCACTTGCCTGCACCACTTGACCACTTGCCTGCATTCTAGAAGGACTGCAGCTAGCCTTCTAGTCTATAGGTCTACGGATCGAAATCCTGGCTACCTATAGACCTACGACAGACCTACCTACCACTGGCGGTTCTACAGGTCGCAGGTTCAACTCTTCGAGTTGTCGCTGGTATTGTACACAGGTAAGTTGGGAAACTAGGGATCGAGCCCTGGGATCTACCTCAGCTACCACGAATTGGTGAATACCGTTTCACTAGTCTGGTGCCACTGGTGGCACCAGACTTGTGTATGGTTCTTGGTGACCGACCCTTACCATTTAGAGGAAGGAGAAGTCATAAGTCCTCGTAACGAGCTTTCCTCTGCAGGTGAACCTGCAGAAGGATCATTAAACCACCAGTACCTTGCCCACACATCTGCCCAGGCCCCTCGCCGCGACTTTTGGAGGCCCGAAAGGCAACAGCAGATGAAATTTATCAGTGGCGGCCCGACCCCGAAAGTTGCAGCTCGTTAAGGGCCGCATCTCTGAAAAATAGCTGGGAATGGTACTGGTGAGTCTGGTGGTTTATAAAAGAAGGAAGAAAGAGAGGCTGGCAGGGCTCGATGCCAGTACTACCGTCTTCACGCGAAAATAATGTTCGGGCATTGTATACAAATATAGCACCTGACCGGCGTCGTATTGGATATATATAACGCCCGGGCGTTGCATTCAGTGAATTGTTATGATCCTGGCCAATTTCAAAGTACACATTCATCAGAAAGTACAATTCCATCCAATTGCAAAAAGAAATGAATGGACTTGAGAGGAGAGAGAGGGAAAGAAGAAGACGAAGAAGATGAAAGCAAGAAGAAGAAGAAGAAGAAGACACCAGCAAAGAGTCAAAGACCAATGAGAATTCCCTTCTTCCTCGCCAACCACTCTCCCCCTCCTCGTCTCGTCCCCTCGTATTCAAGCAAGAAATAATAATAATAATAATGTTGAATGGCTGAATCAGAATCAATGTCCGAATCCCTCTTCTACTGCAGGCATCACATGAGGTCCACCATAGCCATGGCCACCCTTCTTCCTCCTCCTTTCACGACCAAGGCTATGGCGGACTACCAGGGCACTGCCCTGCTGTGCAAAGGAGAACACAAAGCAGCTATGTCTGCTCTAGCTCAGGCCGCCATGCCTGACTCGGCCTCGGCGCTTCTTGGTGTTGCTCTACCCCAACGGGGGCCTTCCGGATGCAGCGCCCACCAAGCTGATGAAGATGGCATCCACCATAGCCAGGTAAGTACCTCTGGCGCTCCTCCCTCCTCTAGTCTTGGTCTTCTTCCTCCTTCTGTCCTTGCTCCTCTCCAGCAGCGCTGCACTTGATGCTAGCGCTGCTTCAGTCGCGCTCTGACCAGTGTGTTGCCAAACTTGCACACCGACAATGAGGAGGAGCACCTCGCTCCTCCGGGAGATATAGCGGCCTGCTTGCCTCTTGGCGAGTGACTTCCTAGGTTGTGCAGCCTCCAAGCAACCGGTACCTCCTCCCTTTCAGAGGGAAACATCATTGCAGACTCTGATATTGCCCGGCCGTTGGACTGGTACCCGCCTAGAACTAGCCTACAACTACTGGGCCTCGAAAAATGCCAACTTAGTCTTCTTCTGCTCGGCCTAGAGTACCCGGCACATTTACCTCTACCTGGTGTGGTACCGGCCTACCTGCTACTTGAGTGTTTTTCCGATGCTTCAAGCGTCGCGGGGCTCCTTCCCCGCCACTTGAGTGTTTTCAACCGCTGCAACCCTCAATGCCACGGCCACAGATATGTACCGGCCCTTTGGGCCTTCCACACGGACAAGTACCCTCGCAGGTCTCACACACACTCAAACCGACAAGCGCTCAGACAGGCACACAGACCAGCAAGCACGCACACACTCAGATTAGGAAACTCAGCAACAAGCCGGAAACTCAGCAATGCATGTGTTCCATTGGCAGAACTCAGAAATCAGCTGTGTGTCTCAGTCCATGTTTGGCAGGTCCTAACAAAATAGTGAATACCTCGGCTACCAGAGTGGCCCGGGACCACGTGCCCGGCCGGGCCAAAAAAAAAAAAAAAAATTAAAAATATTTTTCAACTTTATTTTTATTTTAAATTTGATAAAGAATTTCGATGTGACCCTGAGTCAAAAGTTGTTCAGTTTATTTTTCTGCATAACATAGTTTTTTTCAGATTTTTACGATTTTTTTTTTAAAAGGATTTTAGCTAGGCTAGCAGGGGCATGGTCCCACTAGCAACGGGATAGGATAGAAACGAGTTTGTGGGGCAGTTGAGTGACCCAAATCCTGCCGCGCAGTACTCGTGATCCCACGGTCAGTATTTTACATGCATCACCCGAAAAAGTAAGGGGATCTTTGTTCCCCTCCTGCTCTCCTTAACACTGGGCATGCCCGTGCAAAGAAAGCTTCCCGCCAGAATCTTTTCAATTGGTTGGGGGTGTGGCCAACCCCAAAAGAGGGTGGGGTCGGCCATAGGCCCACTGGATAGAAGATTTTCAGTATTTTACTTGCCGTTGTGCAATTATCTCTTTGGGTGGAGCCCGCCTTCCATCACGGAGTATATGGAGGGTGTCAGGATCACTGCTGACAGAAGTCGAGTTTATTCCAGAAAATGTGGCGGTTACTTTGCTCACTGTTGTTGCAACCACCACCATCAGATC